TGACGCACCCCCCGCCGCTTGGGGCAGAGGACAATAGACAAATTGAGAACGTCAGCACCCGATTGGCCATTCCGGGCAAAGGGGGGCTGACAACGTTGGATTTGATCCCATTTGGACCTCAAAAATGGCCAAAAAGATGAAGCGAGCCAGAAAACCCAATGTCACGGTCACCGTACCAAAGGCGACACGGTTCTTACTTGTACACAAGAAAATCATGTGTCTATAATATGTAGATCATGAACCGCCTGCCATGATGACTGGTTGCTTGGCTCGCTCTCCACTATCAGCCACTCATGTGCGACCGGTGGCAGACGAAAGCAAAGCGAGCACCTCTTTGTGAGAGTCGGCCTTCTTCTTCTTCATCACCACCTCCTGTGCTGTCTTTCCAGCAGAGTTCTTCTGTGCGGGGTTGGCTCCTTGCTCCAGAAGCCCTCCCACAATCTTGGCATTGCCAGCTTCAGCGGCTTTGTGCAAGGGGTAGGTGCTGCTGAAGAGGGACTTCTTGGGGTTGTTCACTCCAGTGAAGCCTTGCTTCTTGAGCCATGCCATCACTTCGTTCTTGCGTGCAGCTGCCTCAGCTGCCTGTTCCGCCTCTTCGGCACGCTTCCTCTCAGATTCCGCGGCAGCAGCGGCAGCAGCTTCGGCGGCAGCGGCAGCAGCTTCCTTGGCCGCCTGAGCTGCCTTCTCCTCCGCCTGACGTTGGAGCTCCCCCTCCTTCCTGCGCTCTTCAGCTTCCTTCTCTCGACGAGCTGCCTCCTCCTTCTTCAAATCTTCTGCCTTGCTGCGAGCCGCTTCCTCTTCAAGTCTCTTCTTGGCTTCGGCAGAAGCCGCCCCGGCTTCCTCTGCGCGTTTGGAGAGGTCATCCAGGTTCACCTTCACAGTGTTGGCCGAAGGGTTTGGAGGGTTGCAGGCAGATGTGCAGCTGAAGTCAAACATGATTGACAGAAAGCCGGCAAAGCTGTCCTTCGGGTTCTTTCACGTGAATGGCTTGAGCACAAGACTTAGCCGAAATGCAGGAAGGATCAAGAAGGAGGAAAAGACAAAAACTCAAGTCCAACGCACAAGGCTTGAGTCCTCTGTGCATGTTTGTCACACGAACATCTTGAGACAAGAGAATCGCAAGCACTTCCGTGGAATTGATCCGTCAAAGGGCGTTGATCACTACCAGGTCTGAGATCCCCGAAGTGCTTCCCAAAACGCACAAAAAGGGCTTACTTATTGGGGGGTGAACAATGCTGCCTGCTGCGCTCTCACGAACTTCAAGCCAAAGGATGCCAAAGGCACCCATGTACTCATGGCCATACATGATGAAGGCATCCACCTGCCAAGATGGTGGGCTGACTTCCCCTTTGCAGAATGCAGGCTGTGTGCTTTCCGACTGCACATCAATGGACATTGCACAACTTGCACTTGCACAAACGTTTTTCCATGGGACGTCAAAAAAACCTTGCACATCAAAAAACGAGTCCTTGATGCTGGGACACCCAAAAATGTCACATCAAAAGTTAATAGAACCAGGTCCGAATCTTGCAACTTCTGGGACAAAAAAAGAACTCTCAGAAGTTGCAAAGCGTGATGTTCTTTCCCTCTCCACCTGACGAATGCAGCAATCGCCATGGTCCCCGTCCAGCTTCGCGTCCCAATAGTACCTGCCATGGTCCAAAAACAGGCAGTCAAACGGGCCAGAACGAGTGGCTTGCAGCATTTCAGGCGCATGTGCATGCAGAGTTGTTTCAAACCCGGTTTAAAGTCTTGGTGGCTTGGTCTCCTCACTCAGCTTATCTTCAAAGACCTTATATACATTGACTCAGCTGAGTCAAGACTCCGTATCAACATGTGAAAACGTTATGGCCTCTGATCAGTGTCCTTATCACCGGCCTGAGCTGCTGCTGCCACTTGAAGTTTTGCATGCTGGTGATCTTGTTGTCGAACAAATCCTTGCATGCTTGGAGCCGAGATGAGCCACTGAAGAAAGAAGTTGTCCACATAAAATAACAAATTAAACCTTCAGATTGTCATCTGTGATGTTCAAAAACCTTGGGATTTTCATCTGGGACCCAGAATCACCCCCAGGAGTTGCACTGCCAGACCTTGGTGGATGAAGGCACACATCGGAGAAAACAAATGCTGCCAAAAGCGAAGAAAAGTGGGGCAGGCTCTTGTCCTGGATGATGTCACGATTGTGCACATCCTGATGGACGGCAGATTTGGGGCTAGACTGGAAAAGCACCATCAGTGTCTCTAGAGTGGTGACTGAGTTGAGTGACACAATCATCCTTCCAATGCTTTTATGTCACTGGAATTGCATTGTCCAAACCAGAAGGGCCCACAACTTGATGCACTTGTGTCCTGATATAATTAGTATTACCATTATTATTATTATCATCATCATCCTCCTCCTCATCAGCAGCAGCATCATCATCATCATCATCGTCCTCATCGTCATCGTCATCGTCCTCATCGTCATCGTCATCATCATCACAAGACCAGCTATTCTGCAGAAAAGGAACAAGTTGATTGTGCACGCTTGTCCTCTACACTGTATAAAAGCCCCAACAGTGCCGCCGCTGCTGTAACATCAGCTACTCTGAGTGTGCCCTTGCTGCACCCCACAGCAGTTACTTTTGCCCCAAATGCATGCTCACGATAATCCAACACATGGCGATGCCTGCGTGACCAGTGCCACAACGCCCTTGCGCTGGAGTTTGTTCAGCTTATCTCTGATCAGCTCCTCAGATTGCTGGTTCCATTGAGCACAAGAAATTGTGATCTCCACGCAAAGACGGCACAGCAAACACACGCTCGCATGGACCCCAAATAGCCTGTTGAAATGACACGAGAAGCATCTTGAAGTATCATAAAATCCAAGACGGAAAGATCCCAAATTGCAAATGTGTTTGTTGGCAAAGTGGTAAAGTTCTTCCGAAGGAAACTGTCTTGTCTGATAATCCTTCTTGGTGTCCTGTCTGAGAATGAAGGGGGCAGGCACCCAGGTCCCTGGGTGCCCTTCTTCAACTCTGCTGGGCTGCTAGTCTTCATGTTCCAAACACATAATGAAATAACTGTGATCACTTGGGGGATCTTTGGAGATGGCGTCAGCGGCCGATAGGTATGTGGAAGGCACTTTCGTGTACATGTTGATTTCCGCCGCTTTTGGACAAGGGTGGTGGTCAGTTTGGGACACACCGTGCCACCAGGCCAGTGCTTGCAGCTTCTTAGAGGAGCTCTTTCCGCTTCGTTTGGCCAACTACCCCTAAACTCTAAAGCCTCAAAAGTTCAAGACAAACGACGAACGAGCGACAAAAGCCAACACACAAAAAAGAACAAAGAATAACAAAGTCAAGCAATCGTAAAGGTGTAGCAGGTAGAAGAAGCATGTATCCCGGCAAGAGGCCCCAAAGAGTGTTAAGAAGAAGCAAGGGTGGATAAGCCGGATAAGCCAACTTCCGCACTCTGGAGCACACACGAGAGCACACATGAAAGCACACACATGTCCAACGTGGTGATTCACAGCACCTGCCACGAAATCAGAGTACCACCACCAAGTCTAAAGTGCTGCACCTGCCAGGAAATCTGCACATCGAAATACAACGGTTCCGATCTCCTGCACCTGCCAGGACAAGTCGACTAGAGACCACAGCAGCACGAGGACTCCCTTGTGCCTGCCACGCAAAGTGACCACAAAGGTCCGAAAATGTTACCGCAAGGGTTAAGGCTGGGTTTGATCGAGGGTGCTTGCATCTGCGGGCCGCTAATTCGCTGCTATTTGTGGCATAGTCATGCCTCTCGAGATCTTCGAAGTGCATTTCAACTGCGCAGGCTCGCACAAACTGCCTCCCCGGAGCGTTTGCTTTGCTCGACGGCGCTGACCACACTGTTTCGGGAAAAAAGTTGAAAAGTCCTACATAATCCTACATATATATGCTCTAATTTGCATCGATTTGGTTGTCAACTTTTATCGACTTTTAAATATACATTTCTCGTTTTTCTCGTTGTTGAACTTCTCTAAATGTTCTCGTCTTTTTGCTTTGTCATTGTTTCTTCTTTTCGGGTGTGTGACCCGAATAGATCCCATGCGCACAGGCCTAAGCGGACACGACAGTGCCCTGGAGAACCGGACTTGGACACCACTCCAAAGGTCCCGACAGTCAAGCCTTCTAGCTGAGTCTTGTTCTTCTGGTACCATTTTCCCATGAGCTGCACCTGCAAGTCTCACGCAGCACATGAAAAACAAGAGTCGAAAGTACATCTGGGGGGTCTCTCAAAAGAGCAATTTCACCCACCCGTCAATTCCGCTTGGAATGGATCATGTTGTCCCAACGCCGGCAACAAGGGGCGTTGGGGGGGGCTACTCCTCATGTTCCCAGTACATTCGACAGCGTAAGCCTCTTGGACTCTCTCGGACATCTAACATCAGATTCGGCGGACTGAGCGATCATCCGAACAAGAAGCTTCCAGGGCCTTCTAGGGGCTCCTGGCCTTACTACCCGGAGCAAGAAGCTATTGGGAACAAGAAGCTTCTAGGGGTTTGAGCGGCAGAATTCTTCATGCCGTGAATCCCACACGTCTCACCGGTTTCACTGGTTTCTCAGTCCTTTCCTGGCCTTGTTCCCATCGCTGGCCGTCAAGACCTCCTCGGTCTCCAGGGTCCAGTAGATGGACCCCACAGTGATCATCACCTGCATCACCAGAAAGACCGGCACCCCGCACGGCCGCATGGCAGGGGGTTCGGCCTTTTTCCTGCGGGTTCGGGAGATGTTTCAAGAACTTGAGACAGGAGAAGGAGAAGGAAGGCCTGGCAGTACTGCTTCCGTACCCACTCTTTGCGGTCAGACTCAAGCGCATAGGTCTCCCAGCCTGCGCAGCTCTTTGAGAAGGCGGCCCTTCTCAAAGGCTGAAGGACATGGTCCAAGACATGTTGGATTACGCGGCTCAAACAGACTTTGGAACAATCCAATAAAGCTTCAAAATAATCTGGGAACCAAATGAATAGGGCGAGTGCTTCGTCCGTACAAGTTTGCCCTTACTCAATTGAGTAGGCGCCTATTTAATGTTATATTCAAGGAAGCAGGGCCACTGGCTGGAAAAAAGGCAAAATAAAAGGATTTGCTTCAAAGTCCAGACTGAAGCCTTGTGAACCGTGGACCTGACGAGGTCTTGCGAGTGTTGCATTGACGACAGTGTCTTCCCCCGAACCAATGTGACCACTTCGTCGAACCAATCAAGGCTTTGAGCAGATCAAACACCACCCTTTGGCAGCTCGCTTCATCTGGTCGTCTTCTTGTCAATAACCGTTCGACGCGTCGATGGCGCCTTTCTTCACCTCAGCCCTCATGGTCTTCACCATGTACTCCTCAACGCCACCCTCGGCACTGAGCCACTTCTCAACACCGTTGCGTGCCTCACCGGACCCCGTGGCTCTCAGAGAGCGCGCGGAAAAAGGCCGCTGTGGGAAGAACATCTTACACCCTAGAAGGAGCCCAGCAAGAGCTATTAGCGATGGCCTCCATCCTAATAGCGATGGCCTCCAACCTACTAGCGATGGCCTCCAACCTACTAACCTACTAACGATGGCCTCCAACCTACTAGTGATGGCCTCCAACCTAGTAGCATTCAAACATATTCAAACCCTATGAGCACTCACAATTGGCCCTGATGCCTTGATGCGGCAAAAGCCATGGGTCATCCTGGGCCTTTGCTCCTGCTGAGATGCCTTCAACCCCTTGGAGTTCTGTGGCTGTCTGAGATAGCTGGCCAGCTGAAAAACACCATCAACTCTCTGCGTTGCGCCGCTGCGCCGACTCTTTTTCCTGAGTCTCTTGACTCGACCCTCAACTCGCCGCGCCTTGAGCATCTTGTAGAAGGGGATCTCTTCGCCTTCGCCGGAGATCATGGCATGGATGTCTGTGGAATTGGCTCCGTCCCCAAACCTCAGAGCCACAAACTCCAGCTGCGCCCCGGGCCCAGGTGTCACCGTCGCGGCCGGGGGGTCATCCCGTGGATCCGAGTCCGGTGGAACGCACCAACGCGTCCGAGCACGAAGGCATCAAAGAGGGGAGGAACTCCCGTCCCGACTTGGATGTTTGGGATGGTCTATCCACTTGGATGCATTGCTGGAAGATGTTCGATTTTGGAGGCGTATGCAGTGCATAGTAAATGTACCTGAGGGGCACTCCTGGCAGTGCAGTTTGCCAAGGTTTGCTTGCACGGTTTTTCTGTTTTTCTCTTTGAAAATCCAAGTTATTCTGGCATCTAGGCTTCCCAACTTCAGCTTCACCAAATTATCAAAGCACTTTCGGAGATGTGGCTGGACGGCCTGCCAATGCACGTGCAGTTTGTCACTTTGTTTTGCCTCACCACCTGTTGCTTGAATTTAAGAAACAGCCAATTCTTCCCACCCGTCCAACCACTCGCTTGTTAATTGAACCTGTTTATTGTTCACTTCCGGAAAGTCCAAATACTTCCAGATAACAACTGCCCAAATGGCACTGCGAAGAAAACTACTAGTGCAGTGTAGTACAGTAGGCAATTGTACGTTCTGTTGGTCCCATGTTCCAGGGTGATGAGGCTCTTTTTGTGCGAGTCGAATCAGCCAATTTTGGCCTCCAGTACAAACCTAGTAGGGCAAGTCCAATCTAAACGACAGGCTCAAAGTCTGGGTGCTTCCAATACTTTCTTAAGAAATAAACAACCTTGCGACATCACACCATCTGGCCAAGACTAAAACACTTCCCCGCATCATACACCGCTCGCAGGCTTCACCTGGGGTCTCTTTGCTTGGGAGAGAATCTCCAAGAGTTCGTCCTTAGGCAAGACCAGCGAGGGCTCTAAGCCATTTAAGACGCGAAACAATGGTTTGTGTTGGAGCATCCTGGCGCCCTTCTTCACCGCCTGAAGTCTATGATCGAATGACTTGCACTGGCACAAGCTTCTCGTTCTCCGCTTTGAAGTCAAAGCTACTCTTTGATGGTCCGATGTGCATGGAATCACCATCTACTGCAGTGATGGAGGGTGTATAATTAGCTCAAATAAGAAGACCGACGACCGACTCCTGGCAACGACTCCCTGGAAGGTGGTTGGCTAAGCTTCAACAAATCACCAGTCTCAGCAAGGTGCAGAAAGCGGGTCTCCGAACAACTATCCAAATCAGGAGTGTCAAGATCCCGAATGAATAAGGGATTGTCAGATTGAAGATTTTTTGAACGATTTCTTGAATTAAGTAGTGAACACCAGAAATTCGCCTTTGAATCTGCGACAAGGGTGCTCAGGTGAGGTGCTGCAGCCAGTGAATGTGCATCAGTTCATGATCTTCATCAGCTACACTTCAGTCACCCAGGGTGTGGGGGCAGTTGCATCTACACCCACAAAGCCGTCTATCACTGGCGCTACGTGGTGGTGCACATGTCAAGTGGTCTAGATCAGCAATGGTTGTTCAAATAAATATATGTTTTATAAAATAAAAATAGGAGGTAAAAACAAATAAATACAAATAGAGTATCATAATACCAAATAAATGTAGATAACTAGAAATAGAATAGATGAATCGAAGACAAAATATCTCTTATGAAATAGATTCAAAAAGATCTTGATATACAAATCTTTGGAAATATGTTTAAATCTTCAGAAATCGTTGAAAATCTTCGAACATAGTTTAAAATCTAAAAGACAATTTAAACATGTCAAATCATCTCACAACCATAGGAAACGAAATCCGGGCTGATCCAATCCACCACTTAGTCTCACTGAGTCTATGAGACGTTTTGTCAAATGTTCTGCGTCCCTGACATTGGAGAGAAAGAAGAAGCGTGGGAAGGCCACACACTTGGAGAGGAGATAGTCCTTGAAATGAAAGCTCAAGTTGATTGAACGCTTCAAGGAAGTGTCCGATTCGGTGCGAAACATGCTGATTCATGGGAGGCATGGCGTGATGACGTTGTAAACATCGAATAGCAGAAAATGGCCAACTTACAAGATCGGATGAAAAGTCACAGCGGCATACATTATATCTGCAACCTACGGGTCCTTGGGTCCCTGCGTCTTGTCCTTTGAACCATATCACATCATACTTCTGTTTATCCAATTCTATCCACCTGTGGCAAAGGAGAGGCCGTGGAGAGGCCAAAACTCAAAAAAGAATTGTCCTCCAACTGCTTCTGGATCTGATCCAAGGTCTCACTTGCTTTCTGGCAGGTTGGTGGCGCTGGCACTCCGTACACGTTTTGTGGCAAATGCAGAACAAGGAAAACTCATATATAGTGATAGTGTAGATCTCTTGGTTATCTCGGTCTAGGATGATGAACATGAGCATTAGCGAGCGGAGCCGGCGTGTTCCGGTAAGGGCTGGGCGATGCTGGTGTGATGTCGGAATGCCAAAAATCTGCCAAAAAATGTTGCACATGTGTAAAGTTTACTTGTTTCTGACCTTCAAGAATTTTGTCCGAGGAAAAGCGTTGCCTGCGATTTGGTCTGGGGCTCCATCCCCCTTGCTCCCTCCTCGAACCCTGCTATTTAAGCACTTGATAGGCTGTGAGTAGGCTAGGGACCGTACGTGCTGCGCTCCCGCGAACGCTCCCAACAGGCACGTATGTGTCCACCTGTTGTTTCTTCCTGTTGGCACCGGGCCCGGGCCCTTCGTGCGAAGGACCGGTCTTCGCGCATGAGGCCTTCTAGAAAAAACGACCAACATTGCATGACTCCAAGCTCAACTATCGATGTTTTGCAAAGGTTGTTTGCATGACAGGCGCCAAAAGACGTCACCTGAACACCATTGTAGATGATTCTCCTTCTTTCAGAGGGTTGATACCTGGGAAATCTTCTGTCTTTGTTTGAGCTTTACATCCCCATATGTCTTTATCAAAAACTGGAGCCTCGCCCTCGCAAGACCCATTGAGCTACAGCCCACATCGGCCTTAAAAAGCTCCAGTCTCCCCGGCTTGGTCGCAGCTTTCAACGCCACGGCGTACTCGTAGGTCTCCTCGGACGGGAAATCGGGTCTCAGAGGTGAGACCTCTGTACTCGGCACTTGTTACTAGTAGCGAACCTTGTTACTACTAGTAAGGCACCTGCTACTACTAGCGTGGCACTTGTTACTACTAGCGTGGCACTTGTTACTAGTAGCGAAGAGCATGAGAGAACCTCTCCTTTCTTCCTCATTCTTCCTCTCCTTTCCCGCTCTGCTGAAGCTGTGTTGCAGCTCTGCACCCAATGTTGTCTTTCAACGATTCCGTCAATCCAATTCTTTGAATCCTTCGATCTGAAGTCTTTCAAACCAAATGGGTGTTGGGTAGCTTTAGGGAGACATCCCAGGCCGGCGAACTGAGTCAAGTTTGCGAACTCGGTCTCCACAGCGAATCGGTCCTTCATGATTTGTCGCCACTGAACATCCTGAGTTGCGTGGCTCACACGGAGCGCAAGCTCTGAGACTGACAAAAAGAGCAAGGGAGGGAGGGGAGGGGAGGGAAAGAAGTTGATCACCATGACATGAGACAGCAGTGTTGGCCCACTCGTGCAGATGTACTTCTGGTCCAATGTTCTGGTGATTGTGATCCTATCAATCCACGTTCCATTGGGCAAGCTTGTCTTTCCATCAAATACAAATGGGCAAGCTCTACAAGGCTATTATATATGTCAAAGGTCGAGCAGTGGTTTGATGCTGCAACGGTCGAGCGGTGGTTGATCCGAGTAGATGGTACCCCAACACCCCAAGATGTCTTGAACAAATAAGGGGTCCATGAGTCTATATAAACAAACTTTTGAGGATTGCGTCAACTACTCTGAAACCCATGACGATGACGATTCAAAAAGTCCAATGATCAGATGACGATTTTCTTTTCGCATGACGACGGCATGGAGACGTTGCCGAGCAACGATCTCTTGAAACTTGGCACTTTCTCCAGGCAGTTGCTTCTTGATGTCGCCAGCATTAAAAATGGACCTTAGGGGAAGATCATGTGAAGAGTCTCTGCTTTGAGGGGAAGACCTTGAAGGGCGAGAAAACACACATGGAGAAAAAACACCTCATCAAGTACGGGCTACAGTGTCAGTAAGAAGTCATATCCACTAATATGATACGCCACACTTTGCTCCAGGAGAAGTGTTCATTTGTGCACTCTTTTTGTTTACAAGCACGTGATAGCACGTGTCAATCTCAAAACTCTTTGAAGGCTTCAGAGGTGCTGCCATGGCACTCTAAGTACATCCAATTTCTCTGTACGTTGAGCCACTCATCCAATGTCTCCTGGAAAATGGCATGTCTGTTTTGAGTCCAACCTCGATATAGAAAAAGAAACAACTACATATTGATATTAATATTAATATTTACATACATTGCATCATCTGAACTCAACACCCATGACTGTGTATAAATACATAGAAAATCAAAAAGAAGCACATACTAGTAAATACTGTATAAGTCTTCCAAGCACCATTCCGAACCTTCTCCCACTGGTGCAGGATGGAACTGAAAAATCACCATAGGAGGCCCACATGTTTCATGAGAACTCTGTCCTGGAAGAGCAGCAAATCCTTCTGCCATTGTTCCACCTGGTCACCAGGGATTCAAGTTTCAAAATGAGAAGAACATGGTTGTTTCAAAAATGCACAAGTCCTCTCTAAACATTCATTTCTCGAAGGATGAAACAAACGAGAACTTGCCTTTCGGGATTTCGGGCCGGGCCCCTGGTGCTTTTTCAGTGAACGACAGATTCATTGGGCGACTGGAAACTTTGTAGTGGGTGCGCCAAGACATTTGTTTAAAGCCCAGTTTGGTACTGCAAAGCATGCTATACATGCATGTTGCTTTCGGAACAGGTCAGTAGTTCTTTGATACACGCAGGGCAGCGCAGAGCGGCCCACCATGCGTGGCTTTGCATGGCTTTCTGGCGCACCTCCGCGCGGATGGGGCCCACGTATCGACTTCCAGCCTTGGCTTTCGACAAATGAAGGAAAAATTGACCTAGACTTTTGGCACATCGGGTACTCTCATATATCCTATGATCTTCCTGATCTTCCTGTAGACCTTCTCGATCAACAAATCAACCTGTTTCTTTCCGGGTCATTCGCCAACCCGAGATCCCTCTCCTCCTTTGCACTCAGAGTCGACACCAAGAAACGATGGTGGAGATCGTCACCAAGGAGTCTTCCAAGGCAACAGTGATGTCTTCGATCGAGCCGAGCACGAAGACATCTTTGCTGTCCTAAAAAAGAATCAGTCCTAAAAGATGTAAGTGAAAATCAGTCCCAAAATCCTTCCATTCAAACAATATCAGGACTGGAATGGAAGTGGATAGGACGGGAGTCCTCAGAGAACCAGTGACACGGAACTTGTTCATCCTATGGCTTCACTGACCAAAGAGAAAGTGAGTCGAAATATCTAGATGATTCCAAATGTACCTCAAAATGGGTGTGTTCCAATGATCAGGGCATGGTTGAATCTTCAAAAGCTTGAAATGTCACCACTCAGTTCTATGCTGTCTACACTTGCTGGTCCTCAATCATAAATTCAGAAATCACCTCTGTTGGATTCTGTGTGAATCTGTTGGCCAGGTCCTTTGTTTTGATCAAAGGCCATTTCTGCAAGTCCAAGACAGCTACTTGCCCACCAACCGCTGATGGTGTGCTCTTCTCAAGCACCGGGGCGGATGCAAAGTCCTTGTAGGGGTTGATCACAAGCTCCAAATCCTCCCACGTCCTTGCAAGACACTCTTTGTTTCTTACGCATTCCGACTGTTGTCGAGAGGTTGTTACATGTTTCTGCCCTAAACCAAGGAGTCTGAAATAGAAAGAAGATTGGATGTTCCTGCTCGCAGTCAGGCAAGAAGAAAATGAATACGATAATACGGACGTTAAAATATAGAATAAAAACAAAAAAAAACGCCAGATCGATGCGTCTCAGGTTGACGCGTTGACGCACCGTTCGTCGTTTTTTTCCCATCAGAACCAGCTAGGTATGCGGTACAGCTTAGGAGTTCTGAGGCGCTGGCTTCTTCACCTTGTCGAGCATTTCTTCAAGTCCTTGCTCTGCTGTTGCCTGGTCGATTGGTGCGAGTTTACCCCAGAGCTGATTCAGAGCCTATGCGAGTCCTTGCTCCAAAGGTTCCGGACCTTGCCAGAGACATCCATGATGGCTTCCATGTGTTGGTCCACACCTCACGAGATTCTTCTCTGGTGAAAAAGCAGGAAAAGAATAATCCAGCTGAAAAGATCCGAACAGGCAGGTTGAAGAGCTTTTGATGAATAATCCCGCCTGAAAATAGCTGAGGCGCCTTTTCTATTGATAAAACTGAATGCATGACACGTTGTCGGAAGATGTTCGAAGCCAAACCTCCGGTTCTGACCCACGGGCGACAAGGTCAGATCCAAGGTCAAAGCCCATGGCCAGCAGACCACCAAGGGTGAACCTGCCCAAGATCTCTCTTCAGCAAGTGAGAACACACAAAAAGGCCAAACTCTAGGTAGAATGTGTCTCCTCTCTTTACACCAAACACAATCAAACACAAACACACAGACAAAGAAGGCTGCTCGACCAAAGACAATGGCTTTGCACAGCTTTCCAGAAAAGAAAACCAATGCGTAAGTTCAGAATCCCCCACAGCTGTTATTCCCTTTTATAGGGCGCTGTGACCAAACCACACCAGAAAGGGCCACACAAATCTCACGTCTCAAACTCAGAATCTGCCCGCACTGCTGAGAATACGGACTCTTCATCTTCCAAATCCAGCTCTTGACCTGCCACATGAGGCCTTTTTTGCTCGGCTCGTCTTCGCTTTGTTCGCAGGAGCCACCAAAGCAATGAACGCCCTTGATTCAATTGCAAAGCCCTTGCTTTCACTGCAAGTTGCACTCTGTTCGCCCTCTGAAAAAGCTGGCCAGGTGTACCAATCATAGAGGTAATGACCTCCCAGTGTCGTGGCCTTCGGGGAACACCCAGGCGGTTCGGAGGCCGGTCAGTCGAGATGCACTCACTGTCAATGAGTTTGGATCTTCATCACAGTGCCAATGCTGTGGAAGGCGGAAGCCAGATCCGCTTTCCAATGTATCTATGGCACCTGAACATCTACGAAAAAAGGGGGCAACGCTGCCGGAGGAAGATCCAACCTACGAAAGGCAGGTCGTTTTCTGAGAAACCTTTGGACACTGACAAAGGTGGTCACACATTGGAGTTCACCTTACCAACCATTCCCAAGCAACCAGTTATGCTTTCCACTGAAAAAAGGCATCGGAAAGAATCAGCCCTTTCCCTCGCTTCACTTCTCTCGTCTATCCAGCCCATACCCTCCAGGCAGCTTCAAGGCTTTGTTGCGCAAGGCGACCACCACTGGAAGTGTGTTTTTGAACCTCAGCAACTTAGGGGAATTGGATCGGTGCTTTGAGAGATTCACCAAATAAGCGGTCAGGCCTGCAGCAGTTCAAGCACCAAGTCATTTTCCACGCTCTTGCGTGTAAGACACATTAATGCATGCATTCACAAAAATATTGGAGCTCTTCCATAATGTGAAATGGCTCGAAAGTTCAAGTGCCTCAACAGAAGTAGACTTGGCTCAGAGACTCAGAACTCTCACTCATGTCTTTGTTGTTTTGATCTCCACATCTCCATCCGCCCGCACCATCACTCCGCCCACTTTCCATGGCCAGCCGGTGCTCTTCACGCCTTTTTAGGGCGCCGGGCTGGGTGACGGACTCTCCCCAGATCTGCGGCACCTGATTCTCCGGCATGGCCTTCACTGACTGCACCGCCACCTACCAGCGTGCGCCACGGGCACCGCCACGGGCACCGCTGGATTGAAGAAAACGGCGATGTGAGTTTAGCCCAAAGAGGGGAACGAAGAAGAAAAAGGTGAAGGCGAAGAGGTCTGAACTGCTAAAAAGGAAGGATACTTTGGGGGGTCGTTTTTATCCTGGTGAGGAGTGAGCACTTGCTCAAGTGTTGGCAGCCATTTTTCTTCAAGCACAGAAAGGCAGTCCTTTCTCTTCATATTCTATCTGATTATCCATCATTCTGCAACGCTAGCCGCTAGCCCAACACAAGGTCACCAGGCTTCGCCTTGTTGTACTCAGCCACTTTTTTGGTGATGGTATCGACATCCACAGTCCCAAAACTGCAGTTGTTCCACTCAGCACTCAGCCTGAGCACAGATTCTTCGAGGCACAAGTCAAAACCTGAAGATCTTTGCAGGGTACTAGACGTTCTCTTGAAGGGATGATTTACCGCACGCCGCCATACTAAAACCCACAGTTCTGGTGGCTTGCCTTACCTTCACTGAGACAAAGATAAACACATGTTGTGGGTTCATCACTTCCGTCAGTAAGCAGCTTGGATGGATTCAGCCGGCCACCGGGTGCCTCCTTCATCCTGTCAGGTCACCCCCTGGTCGTGATGCCTTTTCGTTCATTGCCCGTTGGTGGCCGACATCGCTTCCCGCTGCGAACCTGTTCGCTGACCCTACAGGACACAAACAGTGTGCGACAAAACGTGTTCTGTTTGAGAATTGCTCTGCAGAACCTCTCTTCCGACTCATCCGAAGCGAACAGTGGCTCAGGCCACCGAACTCTTCCCATGCATCGATCCCTCGCCACAACCTGAAGATCAAACGGAAGAAATGCAGAAACCCATGAGAAACCGATGAATCTGATGAGTTCTGCTTGACGTTTATTTGATGTGTATCTGAAGAAGTTGTTTTAGTGGTCAACTCAGGAGGCTGGCTTCCTGGCGGTGGCCTCCGTACATAAGCTCATGTAACCCCACATGAATTTGTCCCAGGACAACCTCCAAACTGCGCTAAGGGCTTGAATAGTTTTAGATGCCAGAGTGTCTCTGATCACATCCCCTCCTGAAACATGCTCTTTTGACACCAGGTGGATCTGAGGTGATGCTTGGTTTCACTTGGATCACCCGTCTTGGGTCTTTTTCGAACCCAGACATCCTCGGATGCATCCTCGGTCTGTCCGGCCCGCCCTGAAGAATCCGAGGCTACAGGCTTCGCACGGATCTGGAAGGAGGCCTGGGAGGGGTTGGATGGAGCACCCCACCCCATGGGCTGGATGGAACCACCATGCTGCTAACTGGCCTAACTCTTCGGACTGGAGGCCTTTGAAGATGATTTGTTCCAAAGATGTCCATATCCATGTCATTCCACAAAATCCTTGTTGGTCGGGATTGAGTTTCAAGCATGGCGGGTCTGATCAGCAGCTTCTCTTGGGCTTTTGGCCACACCAGGGTTGGGTCTAAGGCCAGGAGCAAATCTTAGGCCAGGTGTAAACCTGCATCCAATTGTCAAATTTACTGAGTGTGTCTAACATTGGAAGACCTCCAAACAGTGGATTGCGGACTCCATTCTACAGGTCCCTGATGGAGTCTTGTGGCTTCAAAGAAAAGCGACGGTCACGTGTTGACACTGGGAGCGCTCCGTGTACCGGGCAGAATGCCCTGGCCTTGAGCTCCTCTACATCTTCGAAGGGAGTAGGCCTGGTCAGCTTCGCAAAGGTGAAGCATGGTGAAACTGGGTGAGCCGAAACCCGGTCTTGGCACAAATTGCCTCCTGTGGAAGTTCGAAGCTCTCAGGACTGATGGTTTCCGACAAGCCTGGTCTTTCAGCGCCACAAGAGTACACCACAATTTGTTGTCAGCTACAAACTTGGAAGTCAATCTATGTTTGTGGCTGATGCATGAGCATGCTAAATACAAATACATGAACCTGACATCGCAACAGCTCGTGCTTTCCTGTTTCTAGCCGCTCTTGCCCACTTCACTTCGCGCTCCACAGTCTGTGGACTCCGAAGCGAGAGCCGCTTTCAGGCGGCATGGCCCAGTGCTGAGACTCTGACTCCAACTTCAACACCTCCTGGTACCGATTGAACTTCGCAGCCTCCTCCACCGCGACGTTCACATCTCAGAGAAGTCGGCGGATCTTTCTGGGGGCGAAAGCTTAGGGCGGTCTGCGATGGCAAAGCTGACAGGGGAAAAACGGGAATTGATCAAGTTGGGTCTGGGAGGCTTAACACAAAACCTGTTGGTCACGAATTCAAAAAGCTGTAAAAGCCTCTTCAGCGCGTCCCAAGAGAAGAAAAACATTTCTGCACTTCCAAGGCTGGTTAAGCAATGACATGTACAAAAAATGGTTTCTTAGGAACACTAACCAATTAGAATCAGGCACTGGTACTTCCACCTTATATATGTTTGTGTGTATTATGCATTGTGCACACCTGGGAGGGAAGGGACGAAAGCCCGCCCTCGTAGAGACTGGGAACTACAACAAAGCCTTTCATGTATTTTCTTTGCGGCTGCTTGGAGGCACCTAGCTAGATCCTGAAAGTAGTATTCCTTTGCTGGTGCCCTTTTCTACCTCAAAACTATGACAAAACGATCAACAGGGGCACCACCACTGGACCACACATGCCCTTCAAACAGACCGCAAACATCGTCTTTCAAAGTATTTTCTTTACAGATCTTTACAGCTGCTTGGGGAGACCTAGCTAGATCCCAGAAGATAGCACTCCTTTGCTGGTGCCCTTTTGTCTTCCCCAAACCCGCGACAAAACGATCGAAAAGGGCACCGCCACACATACCCTTTTCCTTGAGCACATTAGTCTCGATGCGTTTCCGCCCACGGCCCACTGAGGAGTCTTTGCAGCCCCACGTCCATGATTGTTGTGGCCACTTTGTGATGCTAATGATGCACTATAAACCTTTTGGCATCACTCGCAGCACCAAGGCACCAACCAGGCTCTGGGTTCACCCTACCCGAAAAAGGTATGACCTCGCAACCACCCCGCACCCCCTAATACTCACTTCGTTCGCCCGTCAAGCACTTCAGCCTAGCCTATCGGCTTGTGGTCGTAATTATGTGTGTGTGGCAAGCCCTGTCTCTAAGGGTCCTCCCCTTCCTTTTTGGTTTTTCACT